GCTATGGCCAGGCGGTTCCTATTTATATATTCGCGGTTGTCTAGAGGCCAGGTCTCATAACAAACGGGTCAGTCGTAGTCACATAGGGTGATCCAGGTCGAAGTGACTCGCTCTTCCTTTCATCTAAAACTTCAGGCTCCAGACAAAGTTCATCGCCTCCTGTGCTAAGTGACGACAAGCCACTTGCCACACTCCCAAGCTCGTCATCGGCGACTCCCATCTCTGACGTTTCCACTACAGCCCTGCGCAGGGTTCCCTCTACATCTCGTCACGAGGCTATGCGACTTCCATCCCGGAAACGAGCTGTCGGAACAGACTTCTTTTAACACTTTCGAACTACAGAAACTTGTCACCGCATCTATGTGGTAAGCGGAACAGGTAAACTTTGGCCGCTTCCTAACTGGCATACATGGGTCAGACACTATGACGCATACTAGGTAGCTCTACAGAAAGTTAGAGGTCTGGATCTTTAGCGGCTTGCCCTGGGTCCAGTCAACAAGCTATCCGGAATAAGTCTGTTCGGAACTACGCTGACCGTTCGGGACTTAGACTCATCTGGTAATCGTACAGTAGTTGTATCTCTTGATACATCTTCAGTCTAAAGTCCATTTCCAACCCGAGGCGTCTGCTAGAGGCTTTTGGGTCACTATGATCATCCCTTAGTTAGCGGAATATGGTGTCGGACCCTCGGACAAAGTTCGGTATGTCTCGAAAGAAATCCTAGTGACAGCTCATAAGGTCCAGCCTGGCTTCAAGGACCTTAGGAAGACCGTCTCTGTACTCTTGAGGTCCGGACAGTTAGAGTCCCAACTCTTTCCGCCAATGATGTAGTTGTACTAGCTGTAAGGTAGGTGCTACCCGTCGCTGTCGTTCCTCGTCCGCTTCACAGCCGTCGGCTGACTGTCCCCGCATCCACTACAGTATCAGATAGGGAAGTGCGACGAGCATAGGGAACTAGTGCTCGGACCGAAATATCGCATGGCTTAACAGTCCTAATTGGAATAAGGCTTTGTGGGTAAAGCTCGGTTAACCGAAGGCTAAGTGTAATAGAAGGGGTCACACACAGGGTTCCTGTGGAAGGGTCCAGCGTAAAAGGTCGTCCCTCAATTAAAGCGAGAAGTACCGAAGCTAGGTCACACTTCGTAACAGAGGCCTTCAACGAAGTACCATCAAAAACCCGAGGAGTAGCCATAAGGGTAGATCGTAGGGTAAGTGTAGTGACTAGTCCCGTCTAGGATAAAGTGCGAGTGAGCGACCATCCGCAAAGAGGCGAACAAGGGCACGCTAGAGTAGTACGTGCGCAAAGTCTTGTAACATCAATGCGTACAGGGAACCGAAAAAGGATCCGGCATCCTGGGACGCTAGTCTCACCCATAGTAGGTAGTACCCGAGACCTCCACCCCGCACTTATAACTGACGTTCGACGTAGAGATCTCCACAGCGCAAAGGACTAGGTAGCAAACCATAAGGTCCACCCAACGGTGGATGGTTTTTGTAACAATCGTTCACGGACATTGGATAGGTCGTACAAAACTTGATATTTTGTCATCTGTTCTCTTCTTTCAGAACGACGCTAGGTGTAACTGGCTCGGGTCTGTGTTCTCTTCTTTCAGAATGACGCTAGGTATAACTGGCTCGGGTCTGTGTTCTCTTCTTTCAGAATGACGCTAGGTATAACTGGCTCGGGTCTGTGTTCTCTTCTTTCAGAATGACGCTAGGTATAACTGGCTCGGGTCTGTGTTCTCTTCTTTTTTGTTCGTCTGTCTCTTTCATTATTCTTCTGCTCATGTATTGAATTGGCTAATATTCTTAGTACTCTCCGTTACCCAAGAGGTGACTGGAGCGAGCGGGTTCCCGAAAAGGTGTCTAAGGACTCTGTAGAGTTAGTCTCCTCATAGGAGAGGAGGGAGGAGGAGGTTGGCAATCAAAGAAGCAATCAGTCATCGCAACATCGACCTTGGAATCGGAGTACTCAGCATTCCTTGAGGCGGTCAAAGAAGCTCTATGGCTTCGCCAGCTTCTCGCGGATGTTGACTGGGACCCGGCTGTCTGTAGCTCTCCACTTGAGGCCAAGCGGTACTGCCCCCTCTCTGACCAATGCCACTGTGAAGTCCGAAAAGGTGACAGCACGGAATAAACACTTTGACATTCACCTATTCAAATCGCGCGAAGTACAACAAGAAGGGATTGTGGACTTCAACTTTATTCCGAGCGGGGAGAATGCTGCCGATGGCCTCACGAAAGTGCTAGTAGAAACCACCCACTACCACTTTCTCAAGATGATTGGCATTCAACCATAGTTCTTGACTTTCTCTTCTTTCTGTTTCACTACTACTTATTATTCCGATCTATGATGTGGGTGATCTGGGTTCTGGACGAGGTATGGTCAGGAGGAGCTGAGAGTATACCTTTCCCTTCTGAGACAATTTGGATGAAGGGTTTTACTGGTGCTCAATGATGCTCAGGACTTGGGTTCTTTGTTGATAGATTTAGCTACAATGGTTTAGTTAAGAAAGGGCGGGAAGTGTTGGAAACTGGTGTTGAAACTGGGTTGTGCTGTAGTTCCGAGTGAGGCTCTGTGACGGCTTACGTCACCCTCATGTATATAAGCTAGTCTCCCCTCTGCTACCTTTCTTTTCTTTTCTCTTTTCCTTCTTGTAACACAACATATACAATAAGCTTCTGCTATAACAAAACCAACCTTTGTTGTACTGTTCTGACACTAGCCCTATCATTAGCTACATATGTTAGTCCATTCACCATTTTCATTTTCCCAAGTTCAATAAGAATTTCGCCAATTGTCAGTTGTGAGGACTTACAGACTGCTAAAGTACAGTCGTGCGTGATTGCACAGAACCCGCGGTTACCCACCCAAGGGATTGAGGCAGCAGATTTGGCAGGGAAAGCCCTTCCCTAGATCTACTGCTCTAAAAGAAGCAATTATGGTATTATGGGGTTGTGGTAAGATTCCCCAGAGCTTCTTGCCATCTCTCTACTATATCTCCAGGCCGTGAATGGAGTACTTAAAGAGCCTAAAACTCAATCACCCACCAGAGCCGCCAATGCCCCTCCCCCCAATACCACACAAAATTGCGACTCCTCACCCTACAATTTCTGGGATTCACAGTCATTACCATCCTCCATGATATGAGTCGTATGACAAGTTGTGAAAGTGTAACTCAAGGTCCACTCCAGCCCAGTCCTTCCCGAACTCCTCTTGGTGTATGGACTCAAGAGCGGCTTGCAAATCACATGGGTATTCTAACCCCTGTGATTGTTCGCGTCAGAGTCTAGGACTACCTTCTCAGTATCTCACTCTCACACATAGCCGAGCTTGATATCCGAGATGTACCGAACCGCCGGCTCGAAAAGCCCGACTGGGATCACTCCATACTAGACGTCAAGCAGGAAAATAGCCCAGAGCTTGGCAAGAAGATGTAACTCAGGATTTTTTATACACCGCCAACAAAGCGGTATCATCTCAGTGCACCGTGGGCAATTGGATTAGTACGTTAGCGAGCTCAAGAACAAGAGTGGGAAGCTAGCTAATCAAGAACACGGCAGATCCAATCACATACCGGTACTTCAGATCCATCATAGATATCCGAAGCCACCCGGAAATGGGTGAATAACTATTCCGCATTCTACTTTAGGCATTCTATTCGCGATCCGGACATAAAGCACCCACAGCATCATCCCGAGAGAGAGAGAGATCAGTGCCTGTCATTTTACAAGGCAGTTATTACCGCCCAAGTTACCCTCAAGCACTTCATGATTTCCCCGCCCATGCAGTTTGCCACCTTCTAGCTGATGCCAAATATCAACTTCTAATAGTCCCTGAAATGAGGCGAAAATGCCACCACGGCAGTTTCCACTGGGGGTTTGCCACTCATGCTTACTTCCCAGTCGGCACGTCCGACGCCCTGCACGGGTCGATGGGGAGAACTCCGGACCACGATCACATTAGGCTCGGGCTCGCCTAACAATTCGATTCCTTCACATGGAAAGGCAGAAATGTGGGCAGAGGAAGACAAACTAACTACCTAACTTACATCCCTTCGTTCGTTCCCGTTTTTCAGGCCCAAGCACACCTCAAATAGTGTGTAGATAAGATCTTAATCTTACGAGAATATATAGGTAAAGAAAGGTCAAGTCCACCGTGACCGGGCCAATAAATTACCAGAGAATATCGACGACCCACGCTCGCCACTTACTACTGGTATTGAACCTCCCTACCGAGTTAATAACTTAGGGTGTGTATGGGCTCGAAAACGAAAGAAGGAATACTTACCTACCGCTAAAGCTCACAAGCGTAAGCAGGCATTGTAGAGTACAGTAGGATACATGCCCAGTACTGTACCGTACAGTACAGTACAGCACAGCACTCTAGCACAGATGGGAACGCCGGGAGTCCCCACTTTCCGCGTAAATTGGCATCAACTTCCCAAAAAAAAAACCGTTATGGTACTACCGCCCATTCCTATATAGTACATCTACTCGTACCTATTCACTCGTCCGCGCACATACTCGTAATTAAATGACCTTCGTGAACACAGTTGCTATTACATACCAGCAAAAAATTTGAGTTTCCCCTTAGATCTCGCTGGCATGCAATAGCAGCCGTGTTTACGTCATTTAATTACGAGCACTGTATATAAGTTACCTGCATAATACAGGTAACTCGTAATCAAACATTTCTCTTCTTTGTGAACAGGACTGGTACAACCACCGCATAACATACCACCAAAATTCAGCTTCGCTGTTAACTGCTTAGGTCTAAACGTCCCACAACAGCGGCCACGTTCACAAAAACGTCTTTCAATTACGAGTACACACACACACACACACACACACACACATACACACACACACACCACAGGTAGGGACAGAAGCAAGGCTTACCAAAAAAAAAAAAAACCCCCCTCCAGAAACCTCACTCACCCTTCACCACTCGCCACCCCTCCCCTCCCGCGAACCACCCCCACACACCCAACCCATCCACCCCAAAACCAGAACGTCATACCACCGCCACCACCTCTCAGAAATCAAGAAGAGAAGAAGAAAAAAAAATCCGAATAAACGCACCCATCACAACAACAACAAAAAAAAAAAAAGCCCGCATGGGCATGCCAGCCGGCTTCAACTCCGACACACACACACCCCTCGCACCAACTCCAACCAATCGCGTTAACCTGGAAACCTGGTAATGGGTTTTTTTTTGATTCAATTTTTCGCACAGCGGGAGTGGCGAAAAAAACTCAGCTCGGGCGGGCGGGTAGGTCGGGGGTTGGTGTGATTGGTTGATCCTGCTGTGATGGGCGTGCGTAGGGGAGGGAGAGCAGGAAGGAAGGCTTCGAGTGATGGTTTGTGAACGAAGGAGGGTCCGTGGGTGGAGTTATGAACGGTTTTTTTTGTTTGCTTTGGAGGGGAGAGAGAGGAGAGGAGAGGATTGTCTGGCGATTGTTTAATTAATTTGTTTGCTCTAGGGAGCATGATACGTAGATAGAGCAAACCACACAGTTGAAGGAGATTATTCGTTCAAGATTTGATTTCCAGGTTATAATACAGCAAGTAAAGTTGCCTCAAATAGATGTACTGTATATATCCTTGCAAGTTAGCTAGCTAGCTAGCTAAGATACGACACGACAAACGCTTACACCCAAAAATCCAGGGAGAGAAATCATTTCCACAACTGCGTTACACCCGGGAGTACAGTACTAGTATATACACACAGCCCCTGCCTGTGTCTTGTGACAGGTCCGGCCACCCTATAGTACATTCCTGTCCGCAAAGTTCTCATACCCTAGGAGGTAACTATGGCGGTGTCGGGGCGAAAAGTGATGTATCGAAGCAACTGAGAAAATGTAACTCAGAAAATGTGAAGCACTCCAGACGAATGCATCACAACCATGGCCCCCCGCACTGCGGAGGGGGAAAGACACCAGCATCGGCTTGTAGATAGCATACCACAGAGAGCACAAAGTATCATGAATGTTGGTAGATCACATATCAAGTGGTAGTTTAAATTTGATGTGTATTTTGTAGTTACATTTTCATTTTCTCGGTTGCTTCGATACATCACTTGTTGCCGTGACACCGCCACAGTTACCTCCTAGGGTATGAGAACTTTTTTTTTTTTTATAAACTTTTCCTTTTTATTCTAACTAAACTACAGTTTTCTATGCTAACTTAAGCATCTACCCTAGTTCCGCACCAGACAAACAAAAACTAAAACAATTTAATCTCAACCAACTCTTCACCTATAACCACTTGGGCCTGCTGGCACCACTTTAATCTGTGTCTGAACTAACCTCTCCACCTCCATCTTCTCCACCTTCACGATAATTTCCTTCCTCAATAACCCCATTCCTTCCCCCAACACTTTCATCCCATCTCCGATTGCCTCCATCACCCTTTCTTCCAACAACCTTACTCTATCTCCCTGCTCCTCAGCCACCCCAGCCACACTCCTCTCCACATCCACCTCCTTCTCTCCCATCGCCGCCACAGCCCCCTCCACATTCATCTCCATTCCCCCCACCTGCTCCTTAACCTTCGCCACCACTCTCACCCACCCATCCTCCTTCCTCTTCCCCGGGACTGCCACAAATCTCCTCACCAAACACTATACCCCACCAACCCAAAGGCCAGCACAGCACAGCTCACCTACTCTCTCCCTCCCACACACCTTCACCACCACAGTGGATGATCTACGCCCCTGTTTCATCCTCTTTTCTCTCTCTTGGTATGAGAACTTTGTGGACAGGAGTGTACAGTACATGAACCTCCCCGTTTCGGAGCACAGTGATCGAGGTACGGTACAGCACTCTAGGATGACATCATATAAAAGCCTGCAAAAAAAACTACCATATGACATAGTCCTTCCCTTGATCTCCCATGCTATTATCTGTAGAAATGGGGGGGTCATCTATATAACTTATCGGCTATATCAATAACCACAAGTATTGTCATTCAACTTGCTGCCTCCAGTGATTACATGTTCAAACCTCCTGCTTAACTTACCAGTCGGTATACAATGCAACAAAAACAAGGATCCGATCAAAAGATTCGGCATATTCCAGCCAATCTCGCACAGAGTATAAAGCACTTTCCTGATCTAACCTATACAGTCTTCACCATAGTTGTGACGAAACTGGGCAGGCGACGAACAGGAGGGGTTACAAACCCTAACCCACAGGTGACGAAACTGGGCAGGCGACGAACAGGAGGGGTTACAAACCCTAACCCACAGGTTAAGGCAACAATACATCTCGCCATTTTTCCTGTGATCTGATGAAACAAATCACCTCCATCTTGATCTCCTCTGCATGCTATTTTTTCTTTTCTTCTTTTTACAAACCATCAACACCCCCTTGAATTTAATCACTGGGAGGATGCATTGTTTTGTCTTAGATGCTCCCCACCAGAAATAATCCAGAGCAACCATACATACAAATTCCACTAACTAAGAATGATTTAGACTAATATAACTAAAGTAATAAATAACAGATTGTATATTGAGATAGCTTGAGCTATACAATATCCAATAAAACTCAGGTTTCTGCCAAAAAGAATCTTATAGAATCTCACAACCAATTAAAGCTATGTTGTCCAGCTTTCCACTTTAAAACTATAACCCACACCATGGTGACACCTGACATAGCAGTCAT